AAAGAAATATATTTTTATAATTTAAAATTTAAAGAAGAAAAAATATTGGAAAATAGTGGACCTATTAAAAAACTAACAACAGAATTAACAACATTAATAGTAGGTATTTCAGGGATAGGTGCTACAATCTATAATAATGAAAGAAATATAAATAATGATCAAAATAAAAATAACTTAGAATTAGAAATAAAAGAATTAAAAATTGAGAATGAAAATCTAAAATTAAAAAATATGAAATTTAAAGAGGAAACTAATTTAAATATTAATACTGATTTAAATAAATCATTAAATAAGGATTTAAAAAAAATAGAAGATATAAAAGAAGAAAGTTTTATACCTCAAGATCATTTTGAATATTTATTAAATGAATTTTCAAATTTATCAATATTACAGGAATATTCTATATCAGTATTATTTCTTATAATATCTTTAAGTTTAAATATATTTAATATTTATTGTCAATTTTATATTCATATAAAAGGAGAAGAATTTTTAAAAACATTATTACCTAAACCAATTTATTTATTAAGTATTAAATTAAGAAAATATTCAACTTTTTATTCTTTAATATCAAGTATTATTATTATTATCATTTTAATAATTAGTTGTATTTATTTTATAATAAGAGGTTAATAAAAATTATTATAAAATATAAGTCAAGATAATAAGTTTTTTAAATAAAATAATATATAAAAATAAAATTTAAATGAATTATTTATTTAACTAAAATTTAGTTATTAAATATATAACTAAATTTAATAGAATTATATAAATTATTTATTGATGTTATTTTTATATCGGTTTTCATATATATATATGAAAACCGATATAATTATAATATTAGAAATTATATAAATTTTATAAATAGTTATATTTATTTTATTATAAGATATGTCTTTAATTATTTTTATTATACAATTTTATAAATATTTTTATTTTTTACCTTTTTATGCTATATTTAAATCTATACCATATAAATCAGGTGGTGTATTAGTAATATTTGTTGCAATATTAATTTTATTTTTATTACCATTTTTAGATTTATCTAAAATAAGATTATTACAATTTAGACCATTTATAAAATTTTTTTATTGGTTATTTATTGGTAATTTTTTTATTTTAATGTGAATTGGTGCTAATCATGCAGAACCGTCATTTTTATTTATAGAAAGTGTAGCTACTGTATTTTACTTCTCATATTTCTTAATTATTATACCTTTTATTTCTATCTTAGAGAATACATTAGCTTCTATAGCTACATCTGGTCATAATTCTCATTAACCAAAAGAATATAAAGAACCTACTTTTATCAAGTCTAGTGGTTCTATAATAAATGATATAAAATTAGGTATAAATCATGTCAATAATTTACTTACGTTACCTTTTAAAGTAGAAACGTTTCATAATAAAATTATTATCAAAATATGTAGAGTTATAGGCCATAGTTATGTATTAATCATTTTTAGTTAAATTTATAGTGATTTATATATACTGGATCTTATTATTAAAATATTAAGCCTTCTACAATTATTATATATGTTTTTTATATTAGGTACTAGAATATTTTATACCTTAAAACATTTATTTACTGGTAAATTTATAGTACGTGATAATAATTTAAATAAATTTTATTCTACTTATAAATTTAATAAAAACAATAACGTTATGAAACGTAATTATTCTACTAATATTCTTACTGATATCCCTGATTCTTATAAAGGTATTAATATGAATAACCCTTGGATACATATTAAGTTTTATAAAATACTAGTATCACAATAGCCTTCTAAATTAATAGAATGATTAGTGGGCTTTACAGATGCAAAGGAAAATTTTATAATTATAAATTCTAATTTTTTTAATGAGAGAATACAAACTTCTTTTTAATTCTAAATAAAATTATATAAGGATAATCTACTTATTTTAGAATGGATAAGAAATAATTTATTCAATGGTGGATATATTCAAAAAATAGTAATAATGTTATTTTAGTAGTAAAAAAATTATCTATTATAGAAAATATACTTATTTCTATTTTTGAACAATTTCCTCTTAATATTAAAAATATCTAGATAATCTAGATTAAAAAAAAAGTATTTTCATTAGTAAAATTTTCTACTTATAAAGAACCTGAAAATCAGAAATTTATAAAATCTATAAAGGCTAATATGAATAATAAAAGAACTTATTTTACTTTACCTAAGGGTTATATTAATATCACAGGTTATTAGTTATTAGGATTTGTAGAAGGTGATGGTAGTTTTACAGGCTATAGAACCAAACAAAAAACAGGTAAACCTAAATTCAATATGGCTCAAAAAAATACATCAAGAATCACATTAGAAAAAATTTAGGAATTTTTATTTTCAGTAAGTGGTATATATCTAAATAAAAACAAAGTTTATCATTTATTAATTTCTGATAGTCAATTTTTATATAATGTGATTTTACCTTTTTTTAATAATTTACATTTCTTTACTTATAAAGGTCTAAGTTTTTTTCATTGGAGTTATTTAGTTAAATTTTATTATAATAATCTATATAAAAGAGAAAATGTTAAATTAGCTATGGAATCCATATTATTACTTATGAATTCATACAAATTATCTACCTATATAACAAGTTATAAACTAGGTAAAATCTCCATAGATTATGTATAATTAAATAAATTATTAACTTTACCTTCATTATATACTGATGAAACTAGAGCAAAAAAAGTAATTGGTATAAAAAGTTCTATAAAAGTATATGTATATAATGTAAATAAAAATTTACTAATAGTAACCTCTTCAGCTAGAGAAATTAGTAAAACTTTTAATCTTCCTCAACTTTCAATTAGAAGATATCTAGATAAAGATAAATTATATCATAATAAGTATTATTTTTATTCTAAACCTATAAATTAATACCATAAAAAGTTTATCCTGATAGGTCAAGCTGTTACCGTATTTTATTCTTATATTTTATTCCTTTTTTAAGTATATTATAAAATATTAACAGATATAACTACATCTGGTAATAATTCTCACCATTATAAAAAGGATAATATTCTCAATTTCAAGATTTTAAAAAAGCTTAAATTTATTACAAATTATATAAATACTTTCCCTATATTACCTTTTAGAATATATAATTTTTATAATAATATATTTACTAGAATATTTAGAATATTAGGTGATAGTTTAATTCTTTTAATGTTATTTTATTATGGTACAGGTTATCCATTAATAAATATTTTTATAGTTATTGAAGCACTAGTTCAATTTATTTATATGTTATTTATATTTAGTATTAGATTTTATTTTAATATAAAATATTTATTAACAGGTAAATGAATAATTTGAAATTTAAATTTAATAACTATAAATAATAAAATAAATAATAAGCCTAAAAATAAAATTATTCTTAAACGTTATTATTCGACTGATTCTCATACTTCTAATATAAAAAATTCATTTAAAGGTATGAATTATTATAATTCTTGAGTTAATAAAAATTATTATTCTATTCCTGTATCACAATGGTCAAAAGAATTGGTAGGTCAATATTTTGTTAGTACATCTGTGGTAAAACTATATTATTTAAAAAAAAAAAATTATCAGGCGAAATAATAGGTCTAATCGAAAAAAAAAAATTTTTTTTTAAATACATAAACAGCAGAGGATTCTTATGGAAAAATTAAAATAGATAAAATTGAATTTAAAAATAATTTATCTAGTACTAATAGTGATAAATTATCAAACTTAAATAATTTTATAATAAAAAGTGTAGTAGAAAAAAAAAATCCTTGAAATGATATATTTACATCTTTTCAAATTAATATATTTTTAACGGATATAATATAGCAATATTTTTTAGTATAATCTCCTTATTTTTTTAGTATTACAATTTTAAAATATTATTATATTTAGAATTATATTATTAAAATTTAAGCATAAAATTATGTATTTATTTTATAATTATCCTAAATTATTAAAAATTTTTAATAAGTTTTATTTTTTAATAGATAAAACTTATAATTTTATTATATATTTTAGTTTTAGTTTAGCATATATTAATATATGTTTTAGCTTTATTTTTAGTTTATATTTACTATTTTTTACAAAGTTAGGTTTAACTTATTTTATAAAAATTTTTATTATTAATAAAAATTTTACTTAAAACTTATATAAGATTAGAATTTAATACTGAATATATTATATATAGTTATTATTTTATTTAAAATTTTTATAAATTTATTTATATATTTTTTAATTTTTTTATTTTTTATTATATTTAAAATTTTAATAAAATTATTATTTATATATTTAATCTTTTTTTTTTTATAAAATTTTATATTTATATATTTAATCTTTTTTTTTATAAAATTTTATATTTATATATTTAATTTTTATTAATTATCTTTTATATATTAAATATATAAAAATTTTATTTTTTTATTATATTATTTATTTTATATATAAATTTTATTTATTATTTATATATTCATTTATTTTATATATATAAAATTATTATATATTTATTATATTCATTAATTTTATATATAATTATTATTTATTATTTATTTTTTATTATATATTTATAAATATATAATATATATTTTTTATATTTTTAATTTATTATATATATTATATATAATAATTTTTTTTTTTTATTAAATACTCGTTGGAGGAATTGAACCTACAATAAACGATTTAGAAGATCGATGCTTTATCCAATTAAGCTAAACGAGTTAATTATTATTTTTTTTTTATGGGCGAATAATGGGAATTGAACCCATATTTACAAAGTCACAAATTGTAGTTCTACCGTTTAACTATATTCGCCTTATTTTACACTCTAAAAAAATTTTTTACTTATATTTACAAAATTGTAATTTTATTATAATTTACTTTTATTTTACACTCTAAGGGAATTGAACCCCTATATATAATTTCGAAGATTATTACTTTAACCTGTTAAGTGAAGAGTGTAATAAAAATATATATATTTTTAAATAACAAGGAAAAAAGGATTTGAACCCTTAAAACTAGTTTTGGAGACCGGCATTTTACCAATTAAATTATTTCCCTTATAAAAGTATTAATTTTCTATAAAATTTAAAATACCTTTACTTAACTCATAAATAAAACCTATAGTTAAAATTAATATAAAAATAGTACCAATCCAAAAACCAAATAAAGAAATATTATATAAAACAGAAGCAAAAGGAAATAAAAATATTACTTCTATATCAAATATTAAAAATAATATTGCGACTAAATAAAATTGTATATTAAATTTTTCTCTTGCTGTACCTATTGTATCCATTCCACATTCATATGGTGATAATTTTGAATAATCTGGTTTATTTACTGGTATTATTAAATTTATTATTAATAATGTTATTAATATTATTGGTGTTAATATTATAAATAATAATAATGTATTCATTACTTTCTTTTCTTTTTTGAATTTTTTTTTCTATTTTCTATTATTTTATTTTTAATTATTTCGGATAGATAAGAATTGAACTTATAATCTTCTAAGCCCAAGTTAGATACGTTACCTATTACGCCACTATCCGTTCGGGTAGAATGGGATTTGAACCCATGGAAATTAATCAAAATTCCTCTTCGTTTCAAGCGAAGTACCTTAAACCAACTCAGTCATCTACCCTTTTTTTAGAATTATTTTTTTATTTTATAAAGTAAATTTAGGTAATAAAGTAGTTGTATTTTCTGATATTGTTGTTATATTTATTGTACCTCTTAATCTATAATAAGCTACTAATATAGATAAAGCTACAGCTGTTTCAGCTGCTGCTATAGATATAATATATAAACCAAATATTTGAGCTAACATATCATCATGAAGAATTGAAAAATATAAAACTAATATTGTTATTGATAATAATAATATTTCTATTGATATTAATACTAATAAATAATGTTTCCTATTTAATATTATCCCATATATTCCTATTAAAAATAATAATATTGCTAATTTCATTATTTTTTATATTTTTATAAGATAATAAATCTTTTTTTTTTTCGGAAAAAAGAGGATTCGAACCTCCAAACATTTAATAAAATGTATAGTTTAGCAAACTATTGCCATACCATTAGGCGATTTTTCCTTTATTAGCCACAGCTCTGAATTGAACAGAGATCCGATCATTAACAGTGATTTGCTTTACCATTAAGCTACTACAGCTTTTTGCCTTGAGGATGACTTGAACATCCTAATCAGAATTTTCAGTTCTGCACTTTACCAGTTAAGCTATCAAGGCTTTTTTTTTAATAATAAAGTATAAAAATTTTAATTAAAAGAAATGAAATAGAAAAGGTTATTATTATATAAAATAATTTAAATAAATTAAAAAATATAAATAAAGTTAATAAAAAAAAAATTTTTTTATTAATGAGAGCATTGGGATTTGAACCCAAACGATACAAATTAAAAGTTTGTTACTCTACCAATTGAGTTATACTCCCTTATTTATAAGATTAGAGAGTGAATTGAACACTCATAATTAGGTTTGCAGCCCAATACTTTACCATTTAAGATATCTAATCTTTTCATTTTGAAATTGAATGGAATTGAACCATTATTTTTTACTTATCAAGTAAACACTTTAACCTTTAAGTTACAATTCCTTAATGATCTCAGTCCGATTTGAACGGACACTATAGCAGTGAAAATGCCAGATCCTACCATTAGATGATGAGATCTTAAAATTTTGTGCGAATAATTGATTCGAACAATCTCTTTAAGATAATGAGTCTTATGTGCATACCTTTTACACTTTTTCGCATTATATAATTACTTATGCGAATGATTGATTCGAACAATCCCTTTAAGATAATGAGTCTTATGTGCATACCTTTTACACTTTTTCGCATTACATATATAATTTTTTTTTGAGGAGAGTAAGATTCGAACTTACATCTTTCCTGTTATGAGCAGTTGGCTTTACCAATTAAGCTATCTCCTCTTAAATTTTTGAGAAGACTGGGATTTGAACCCAGAATGGTTAAAAACCATCACCTTTACAGGGTGATTGCAATACCAAAATGCATTCTTCTCTTATTACCTACTGAGGGACTTGAACCCTCACACACTAAGTGCAAACAATTTTAAGTCATTTGAGTCTACCAATTTCTCCAAGTAGGTAAATAATATATATAATTTTATAAAGCCAGATAGGGAATTTGAATCCATATAAAGTAATTTACAAAATTACTGCTTTACCAATTAAGCTAATCTGACATATATATGTATTTTATATATTATATAATATATATATATATATTAATTATAGTTATAATATAAATATATAAAAAATAATTAAAATATTATAATAATTTTATTATAATATTTTAATTAAAATATAAATATAATATAAAAAAAAAAATATAATAATTACATAAAAATTTTAATATATAAAAATATAATTATTATATTAAGAATAAATAATAAATTATTTATAAAATAAATTAATAAAAAAAAAAAATAATCTAGAATTATTTTTATTATTATTAAAAAATTTAATAACTTTTATAAAAAAAAATAATCTAGAATTATTTTTTTTTTAATTAAATAGATTTAATTCAAGATAAATAATCTTGAATAGATACTATTTCTAAAATAATTGGCATACCAAAATGAAAAACACCACATAATTCAGAACATTGACCAAAAAATATACCTTTTCTATCAAAATTACAAGTTAAAGTATTTAATCTTCCTGGTATAGCATCAATTTTAAATCCAGCACAAGGAATAGTAAAACTATGTAAAACATCATTAGAAGATGTTATTATTTTAATAGGTATACCAACTGGTAATACAGCATGATTATCTAATTGTAATAATCTAAATTGTCCAATTTCTAAATCTTCAGTTGGTTGCATAAATGAATCAAAAGCTATTTCTTTTAAATAATCAGGATATTCATAACTCCAATACCATTGGTGCAATGTCAATATATTAATATATTTTGACAATAATCGACTATACATAAAGCCCCCAGATGTATTAATACATACACGGACCTACAAGTGACCTAGTCTGTAGCAATAAATATAAAAAATTAAATTATTTACTGACGGTCTTGTATAATTATACGGTATTAAAATATAATTATATTTTAACCGTTTTCACTTGTATCGCCTAAAAATTCATAAATAAAAATTATTTATAAAATTTTTAAAGATTTCTGTCGAAATCTTAAAATATAAAATAGTTTTATTTTATACTCACGACTATTATATATTTATATTATGTTAAAAGAATTTTATATTTCAAAAAAAAAAAATTTTTTTTTTCTTGTTTAATCTTTATTTTAAAAATTTATTTTATATAACATACTTGGATGAATATATGGTAATACTAAATCTCTTAAATCTTTCATAGATTCAGCTTTTATATATAAAGACCATTGACCTTTAGTTTGAATTTTTTGAATTGTACAATTTAAATTAAAAATTTTTTTTAATAAATCTCTTAAAAATTCAACTTCTTGTAAAGTAAAACTATTTGTTGCTATTCTTACTCCATATTTAGTAAAACATCCATCATCCATAATCCAAATAGCTAAAGCTAATGGATCTAAATATTTTTCCGAACAACGAAGTTGTTCAGTCTTTTTATATTCCTATTCCTATTCATACCTTTTTTTATAATTATAATTTGTTCTAATCCTTCTTTAGTTAAATGTCCTTTTTTTTTCTATTATACTAGCAGCTTTATAAAAATCTAAAAAATCTTTTAATTTTGAACCTAAAATAGGATATTTTATCAAAAATGGTATTATTTTTGTATTAATATCAAAAAATTTTACTACTTCATAATTAATACAATTTGATGTTTTTTCAATTGAACCACAATCTAGATATTTTATTAAACTTTCCATTAATTTTTTATCAATTATATTTTAAGTTATTCTAAATCTTAATGATACTGCTGATCTCATTTTAGATTTAGAATTTTTTTGAATTCTTATATCAAAAGAAGATTCTCCATCAATAAATCCAGCTAACCAATGTGGATTTTTTATTTTTTGATCTATAACTATAGGTCTTTCAATTGGTATTATATTAGGAAATTCTACTTTTAATTGTTCAGATAATCCTAAATTCATTGAGGCTCTTATACTAATAATATTTAATAAACCTTCTAGTGTTTTATGTTCATCATTTTTTATTAAATTAAATATTTTTTTAAATAATTTAAAATCTGCTTGTTTTTTAGTTAATAAAGGATATAAATCAAAATGTTTTATAACTATTGAAAGATCTTTAAAGGAATTTATAATATATATATAAGAATTTGTTTGTTCATAAATATTACCTACTCCAAAATAATTTTTTATTTTATTAAACAAATTAATATCTTTTTTATGAAGATTTATTTGAAAACATGGTTGTATTCTCCAACCTATTTTTAAACTTTTATTTTTGGTTATTATTATTGAAAAATTTGATTCACCATCTGCAAAACCTGTTATATAATAAGGATTTAATATATTTATTTTTGAATTATTTAGTGTACTATAAAATCTATTTTCTTTTTTATTTTTCAATAATAACCCTCCGTTGTCTGAAGACGACAGGGAAGAATATATAGAATTTTTATATAAACCAATTTTATATCTCATAGTAGGTAAAATATATGGTAAAACTATAATTTGTAATAATTTTTCAGATTCTTTTGATATTATTATAACATAAAAATCTTTTTTATCTTTATAAATATTACAAATTAAACTGAATTTATTATTAAACATTTTTATTAATTTTTCAATATCTTGGTATCTTTTTAAATTAGTAGATAATTCGATTCTTCCATTTATATATTTTGCAGAAAACATACACCATATAGCCAAGGCCACGGAATCTATATATTTTTCTAATTCTATTTTAAATACTTTAATACCTTTATTATAAAATATTTTATGTACCCAATTAAAACTTCTAAAAGAAAAAGTATTAAATTCATACCCAAAATATTCTTTTATTTCATTATTTTTTTTTAGTTTTCTAGTATATTTTCTAGGTGATAAATTAGTACAATAACCATTTTTGTAAAAAAATTCATATAACCAAAATAAATAATCTTTATGTATGATACTTTGTTTAAATATTAATCTTATACCTTCTTTAGATTTTCTATTAGCATAAGCATCACCTAATAATGAACCTATAATTATACTAATTACTTGTTTATTATGAGGTCCAATTCTTTTATTAGCTCTTATGTTAGGAATATTAAAAAGAATAAAAAAAGATTTAATTAAATTATTATTTGAAATATTATTTTTTTCATCTATATTTAATAAGCAAGGAACTACTTGATTATTAAAATAGGTATCTTTTATTTTATTTAAAATATATAATATTAGGCCACCTAATAAGAAACCTATTACTTTCATAGTTATATTAGTTTCTTCTATTTCATCTATTAAATAAATTAATCTAAAACTAGGGAAAGCAATACATAATAATAATAAAGCAGGACTACAAGTTCATATAATTTCTAATTTAGAATTATGATTACTGTATTTATTAGAAATTAAATTACCCACATATTTTAAAAATATTGATATAAATATCCATATTATTAAAACAAATACTATAATTTCATAATAATATACTGTATCATTTAAAATATTAATACCTTCCATAGATGTTGTAGCACTATCTTGAAATGATAATTGTAAATTTTCTGGTGCATCTAATCATATATTTTTTAAAACACACAAACTATATCTATCTAAAAAATTCATTATTTTTAAATAATTTTTTAATGAAGTATTATTTAAATTTTTTATTGAAATATTATTTCAATTCTATTTATAATATATATATTATTCTTTTATATATTATTATTATAAATTAAATGGAGATAAAGAGAATCGAACTCTTACTTTAGCTTTGCAAAAGCTATATACTACCATTATATTATATCCCCTTAAATTAATCATCGACTTTGACCGTCTACGAAACGGCAACTAGTTGTTCGACAAACAACTGCTTTCATTAAGCTACAAAGCCTTATAAATTACCATTAATCCGAATTGAACGGATAACATCTCTTTGGAAGAGAGATAGTTTACCAATTAACCTATAATGGTTACTTTATATACAGATGGTGGGATTTGAACCCACATAGTTTTCACCATTATATTCTAAATATAACGTGTATACCTTTCCACCACATCCGTATATAAATTACATTGCTCCTTTTTTCATAATTTATTTTTTATTATTTCTTTTATTTAATAAACTATAATTTAATAAATTATTAAATTTTATTATTTAAATATTTTTATTAATATTTTATTTTTATTATTTAAAAATTTTACTATTATTTCACTATTTTTAAATTATTTTTATATTAATTTTTTATTTATTATATAATTAAAAAATATAAATATTTTTAATAATTTATATTTATTATATTTTAAATATTTTATATTTATTTAATTTTATAT